GGGGGGGGGGGGGGGGATTAATAAGTGTGTAGAATCTTTACAAATTTTAATTTTTAAATGAGATAATTTTGTTTTCGGCACTTTCAACTGAATAAATGTGTGAGACCCTTAATTGCCATAAGTAGGGGTGTACATAGGTCGGGCTAGTTCAAATTTTTAATTACCAAGTCAAACCAATGGTATCGGATTTTTAAATCTGTAAATCAAGCCAAACCAACAAAGTCAAGTTTCAATCTTGGTTTTTTTTTTTCCGGGTTTTTGGGTTTTGTTCAAGTAAAGTCTTCATAGCACAAAGTATGTAACTTGTGCTCACAAATATTTCCTTAGTCCTTGTAAGATTCAACTATATAATATATTTTTCAAGAAAATAACACAATGATATGAGATAAGTCATATCATGATACTAAAATATTCAATAACAAAGATAATAAAATTGCATAAAGCAAATATTTCTAATTAATTAGCCATAATAAAAATTAACATAATCTAAAAATACTATATAGTTCGTGCTAAAATAGTTATAGCTAATTACTATTAATTAAATAACTAAGCACTAAAGAAAAAGATAAACTAAGTTATGCATTTCCATTATAAACCAATGTAAAACTAAAAAATAGACATCCAACACTATCATCATTCCTAGTGTTGAATTGGATTTTTTTGTTAGAATTAATATTGATTTGAATTTTGTTTGAGTTACCACATTTATGGACTATAAAATTTATTTACCATTCCAAAATGATAAGTCCAAACTTGAAATAATACGTCTAAAGATAAAACTATGAAAAAGTTTAAAAAATATTTATAAATTACATTACAATAAATATTTATATGTATAAAATATTCTTATAAATTGTATAAGAATGTTGGTTTGGTTTCAATTTGACTTTTTTTTTTTGTTAAAACCAAACCAAACCAATTATGGTCGGGTTTTTCTTTTCAATATCAAACCAAATTACATCGGAATTTTTTTCCTGATTAGACTCGGATTATTGATTGGTACGATTTATTAGTTTTCTTTGTACCCTAGCCATTATTAGTAAACGGAATCAAGGAAATAGCTTACTTTGAAGGGAAGCGTAGTTCTTACCATCGCTCATTCACGTTAAAATTAAGATAAGAGTAATAAGAAAACTAATGCAAAAGAGAACATAAATTTTATCGAATAAAACTAGAAGTGAACCTGTAGATTAGTAACCCAAAAAGTATATATTTGAGCAGGGGGACATTTTCCTAACCTCTTCATCCTAATTAAGGAATGAACGATATTATTCCTACACAAACTTCCCAGATAGTTTTAACCTGAGTTGGCATGGATGCAGCCGTATTGAATATAGTTTTGTACTTGTTAAGTTAGCCAAAGTATCAGCTGCCTTGTTGATTTTCCTATAACAGTGATTGATCGTAAACTGCCCCTGCTCTATTAATCTTCTGATTTTACTAATGGTTTCTTGCAGTTGCCAATTTGCTTTGATGCTTCCCTTTGCCGTATTCACCACAAAACATTGAGTGAGACTCAATACGTAACAAAAACTGATAAGTGAAATTATTTTGATGTGACTTTAACATGTTACGTCACAAGTGTTGGCCAAGTTTGTTATAAATTGTAGAACCACATGACAAAGACTAAGAGAGCATATGGGGAAGGTATAAATGGTCAAACTTCCAGATTTCCTTCTCCTTAAAGAAAAATATTTTGTTTTTCATTTATTAATAAATATTCCAAAATAATACTACTAACTAAATAAAACGCTTGGAGTAAGGAACCAAACACCTGACACGATGCACGTCTAACAACATTCAGCAGTGCACCAGCAGTGTATATAAGCTACGGCTGTAAACTTACAAATTAACCATGACTATGTAGGTGCAATGTATTGTGTTAGGATGTACTTCTCTCCAAATCTCTTTAATATAAATATATGTCCGTATACCTATTTAATCGAGATCAGCAGACCACATCAAGGGTCAGCCTCGCAACGTATCGGGCTATAACACGGAGACAAGGTGTCGAATTCAAGAATCGAGATGTCCGTCGAGACCGAGGCCAGTAGCAATCGAGACTAAGTACGTCCAACTTCGAGTGAAGTGCAATAACGGAAAAGCGAGATATCCGTAACCAGTCGGAGATCACAGTGGAAATCCCGGAACAAATCAAATCAAGGACAGTTATTTGTACCAATAATGGGATTTACTTCCATAATAGAATTGTCCATAATTAGTATTCCTCTAGTATAAAAAGGGGAGTCCCCATCTGCTCAACACAGAGCTCTACAAGGAACTCTAATGGCGGAAGAATCTAGAAGAAATGTGAAGAAGAAAGTCGGTGCTTGAGTGAAAATGTTCAACCCACTGTTCTATTGAATACACTATATCGTTATATACAGAAGGAGCTAAAAGAGAAACTGGTAAAGTGTAAAAAGACTAATCTACCCTTTAACTTACATTAACATCTATAACTACCATTAGCTATCTAACTAATCAACTTAACAGCTCAACTAACAAGCTAACTAGTCACATGCACATCATGTGACATTACAATATGCCCCCTCAAGCTGGAGGGTGTAAAATATTGAACACTCCCAGCTTGCAAGAAGATGGATATGTTGAGCTGTTCCCAAAGCTTTAGTCAGTAGCTCTGCATGTTGCTCCTTAGTATTAACATGTACTGCCTTAACTATTCCTTCCTTGATCTTGTCTCGAATAAAATGACAATCAATCTCTATGTGCTTTGTTCTTTCATGAAGCACAGTGTTTGTTGCAAGTTGGATTGCTGACTTACTATCACTATATATTATGACTGGTTGAGTTATGTCTACACCCAACTCCTTGAATAGACCAAGTAACCATGTCACCTCAGCAATAATGACTGCCATACTCCTGTATTCTTCCTTAGCTGAGCTTCTTGAAACAGTCTGTTGTTTCTTTGATTTCCAAGAAATCATTGAATCTCCAAATTTGATGACATATCCAGTAACCAACCTTCTAGTATTTAGACATGCAGCCCAGTCAGAATCACACCAACAAGTGAGAGTTTCTGCATAGTCAGAATTCATCAAAATCCCTTGTCCAGGA